GACAAGGCAACTAATATTTGAAAGAAGATCAGTTCTTCTGAATAGATGAACATAAAAGAATGACCCCTTGATGTACAAATAGTTGCCTTATTCTCTTTCTTACTTCTCTTCTTATTCTTAATCCTATTCTCTTTTCTCTTACCACCTCTCTCAAAAGTAGTCCCAATCATTGGAATTATGTAACAGCCTGGGGAAATAAAACTGAAATAACCACTTTTTCTTGCCAGAGAAAATGGGAAATGAAACCACAGGGAGCTAGAAAACACCAGAGAAATTCCATAGAGTTGGGGAACTATAGAAGAGGTCGCTAACTCTGTGTTTAGAACAGTACAAGTACCAGGTTTAACTTCAGCTGCAACAATCTGCAAACACGCAATTAAAGCATAGCAAAAGTTTTGAGAACTGAAATAAGATATAAATAGTACACAAATCTCAGACAAACACACAAGTGGTGTATACAAGAAGCATACCAAAGAAAATGGCAAAGGCTTTCAGAACTAAATTGACACTAAAACACCATCACACGATGGTAAGACGAAACTTGTAATCCGAACCTAACTGGTTGATCACTTACTAAACAAAACAAAACAAACCAATCTCTCCAAAGTATTTTAATAAGATTCATAATCTTACAATATAATATTGAATATGTCCAACATACAAACCAAATTATTCGATATACCAAGAACAGAAATATCTGGCCAATCCTTAAGGACAGACAATGAACTGCTGCCAACTTGATATAAAACATAAGTTGAGGCTCACGCCTGTAATCCTAGCACTTTGGGAGGCCGAGGCGGGGGGGGTGCTCAAGGTCAGGAGTTCGAAACCAGCCTGAGCGAGACCCGTCTCTACCAAAAATAGAAATAAATTAATTGACCAACTAAAAATATATATACAAAAAATTAGCCGGCATGGTGGCGCATGCCTGTAGTCCCAGCTACTCGGGAGGCTGAGGCAGTAGGATCGCTGAGCCCCGGAGATTGAGGTTGCTGTGAGCCAGGCTGACGCCACGGCACTCACTCTAGCCTGGGCAACAAAGTGAGACTCTGTCTCAAAAAAAAAAAAAAAAAACATAAGTGTGAATTATTAAAGACTTAAGTGGCTATTATAGTTATATTCCATCAGGTAAAGTGATCCTCCTAGAACTAATAGAAAAATAAATCCTCAGGAGAGAAATAGAGGGTATAACAAAAGAATCCCATGGAAATTTGAAAATTCAAAATTCAATATCTGAAATAAAAGAAATAAATCACTGGATTGCCCCAACAACAGAATGGAGGCACAGAAAAAAGAATCAGTGAACTTGAAGACAGATCAATAGAATTACCAATAAAATGGGAAAAAGACAAAAATAAGCAGAGCTTCAGGAACTCTGAGAATATGTCAAAAGACACAAACCATTGGACTATTAGAAAAAAGAGAAGACAGACATGACACAGACAAAAAATTTAAAGAAAGATTGGCCTAAACTTCAAAAGTTTGGTGAAAGACTTAAATTCATAGGTTTAAGATCTTAGAAACACCAAAAAATACATGAAATATATACATTGCAGACACATCATACTCAAACTGCTGAAAATCAAACACAAATAATATCAAAAGTAGGAGAAGAAAATATAGACAAGCAGTAATTCAAATAAACATATTTTTCAAGAGGTCAAAAACAAACAACATTTTTAAAGTGCTGATGAAAACTGTAACCCAGAATTCTATATCCAGGGAAAATAACTTTCAGGAATGAAGATGAGCATTTACCTGTGAGATGATTGAGAATAGAAAATTAAAGATTTTCTTCTTACCTGTATTTATTCTTTCTAATGCTCCTCTTAGTTGTGTGTTTTGTAGCTCCAAGTTTCTGACCTCTATTACTTTCCTTTTTTCTGAAGAATTTAACATTTTCTGTTAAGACAAGTTGACTGGCAAAATGACCTCAATTTGTTTGTCTACAAAAGTATTTTTTTTTTGAGACAGAGTCTTGCTTTGTTGCCCAGGGTAGAGTGAGTGCCGTGGCGTCAGCCTAGCTCACAGCAACCTCAAACTCCTGGGCTCAAGCAATCCTTCTGCCTCAGCCTCCCGAGTAGCTGGGACTACAGGCATGTGCCACCATGCCCGGCTAATTTTTTTCTATAAATTTTAGTTGGCCAATTAATTTCTTTCTATTTATAGTAGAGACAGGGTCTTGCTCTTGCTCAGAATGGTTTCGAACTCCTGACCTCTAGCAATCCGCCCACCTCAGCCTCCCAGAGCTAGGCTTACAGGCGTGAGCCACCATGCCTGGCCAGAAAGTATTCTAATTCACTTTGTAAGATACAGAATTTGAGGTTGATAATGCTTGTCTTTCAACACTTTAATATTTTCGCTCACTCTCTATTTGCTAGCATAGTTTCTGAAAAGAAATTAAATGTAATTTTTATCCTTGTTCCTCTATAAATAAGATTGTTTTCTGCTTCTGTCAAGTATTTCCTGTTCTTGCTTTCTGTATTTGACTATGACATGCACAGCATAGATTTTGGTATTTATTCTGCTTGGTGTTCTCTGAGCTGCCTAGATCTGTGGTTTTGTGTCTATCATTAATGTGAAAATTTCTCAGTCATTATTGCCTCAACATTCTTCTGCTTTTTCTCATTTTTCCCCTTCTGATATTCCCATTATTTGTGTGTTACACCTTTGTAATTGTCCTACAATTTTGGATATTCTGTCTTTTTCATTCTTTTCTCTTGCATTTCAGTTTTTGAAGTTTCTATTGACATTTCTTCAGGCTCACTGATTTTTTTCCTCAATTATGTCCAGTCCATTGATGGACCCATCAAAAGCATTCTTTATTTCTATTCCAGTGTTGCTGATTTTAGCATTTATTTTTCTTTTTGAATTTCCATCTGTATGCCTACATTACCAAATATTCTTACAAGTTGTTCACTTTTTGCATTAGTGTCTTTAGCAGATTAATCATAGCTGTTTTAAATTCCAGGTCTGATAATTCTAACATCTCTGTCACGTCTGAGTCTGATTCTGATGCTTACTCTGTGTCTTCAAAGTGTAGTTTTGTCTTTCAGTGTGCCTTGTAATTTTTGTTTGTTGTTGAATCAACATGATTAACTTGGCACAGGATTTAGGTTAAAGGTCATTAGCATAAGGTTTTATCTGGCTAAGGGTTAGGCTATATTATCGTTTGCTGTATCTGTGAGGTGTCAGAGGCTAATATTTCCTCTGGAGTCCTTATTTTTATCTCCCTGCTATCTTTGGGGCTCCCTAGTGACTTCTCCTTCAATAAGGTCTCAGATGTGCAGTTCTTTTGTTGTAGTCCCCTGTTATTTTATAGGAACCCTACTGAAGCGATGCAAGGTGTTGTGGGAAGGGCAGCGCACGATAGTTCTGTGAGTTAACCTGTCTTCTAGTGAGACTGTGCCCCTGCACCGTGACCTTCACAAGTGCTCTGAGGTTTTCTTCCTCCCTCCTTAGCTGAGACAGGAAGCCTAAAGGGGCTGAAGTTGGGTATTTCCCTTCCCCAAGTCAGTTATGCTCTGGTAAAACCCCAGCCTATTTGGCTCTGGAAAAATGGTTTCTCACAAAGACAGGCCTTGTTAAGAAGAACAGAATGCTTTATGTGTACTTCAAAATGACTACTTCCCCCTCCACCAACCAGAATCACAAAGGAATTTGCTCCAATCTCCACTGTGAGAGCGTGGTAGGGCCTAAAAGTAAAACAAAAATGTGGTCCCGCTGGAATTTTTAATACTCAAACTTGTCCACACTGAACCTCCAGCAATTTGCCAATTACAGTTTAGACTTTCCTACCCCATTACTGATTCCCACAGAGGGTTCTGCTCCAGTAGTGTAATACTCCGTGCTTGCCTGCTGCCTCTCCATTTTGGGGGCAGTGATTTGCCTTTGACTTCAGTTCTTTGGTAAATCTCATAAGAGTTCTTGATTTGGGTTTATTCAGGTTTTTTCTTGTTGTGGATGGGTGTGATGACTTCTAAGCATTTACATGCTGGATGAGAAACCACAAATTCAGATAGCCACAACACATCCAGTCATGTTCAACCTTCTTAATAATTAGTTATCCACAGACAACAAACAATTCATCATTGCTGTCGATTCTGCAAGAATGCTACAGTCCCTCATTACAAATTTAGTGCCCTCCTATCTCTGAACAGTCACTCTAACCCCGAGTTTGCTTGTCTTTTTCTTAAAATCAAATACAAATATCACAGTCTTAGGCCTTTAAATTATTGGGAGATAGTCTGATAAAAGCTACACTGCTTGTGATAATACTTAATAGTTTATCCTTTTAAATGTGGTAAGTGTTTTAGGTCAAAACGGTAGCTAACTTGCTCTTTAGTTATGTGATCAGTATTCCTTGCTCTGTTGTATTTCCCACCTACACAAAGACTGCACCTAACAGCTCTTTCCTCTGCAGAGAGGTTTTCTACTTCCCAGTAATACAGATTTTGCCTCTTTTAGACGACAGTGTCACCCATGGTTGTGAAGATGCTGGCCACATAGCACTGCTGGAAGTTCTTCCTGCCTCTGAAGCCATGAAATAAATGACTTTGGCTTCCAAGGACCCCCAGGTAAGTTGAGAAGTTTTACTCCTACTGCTAAAACTAATACTTTAATCTTTAACTCTCACAGAACTAAACGTACTTTTTTCCAAATTTTTATACTACCATATACTATAGCACTTGCTCATATCCCAAGTCTTTAAATATTCCGAGTTAACTCTGGAAAAGAGAGAGGGTGATGAGAAAGTTGCTCCTATAGAAAATGTACAAAGTTTTTGCAGAATTGTTCTGAGCATTGGCTGAGGCTGCGGATAGTCTGTCACTGAGAAAGAGGTTGATTGGATCTCGCTTTAAATACTGCTCGTGATGACCTCCATTCCTAGGATCTCTGTCCATTTTTATTACACAGGGTAGAATGTTCACATTTTATTCTTTTAAGTACAACCCAGATTCAGTGCATTAATATCACTCTTTATTGTTTTAATCTCAGTGCCTGGCAGATAATACATGCTCAGTATTTGTTAAATGTAAGTGGCTTTGTCTGATGAGAAAATATTAACATGATAAACAGTAGAATCATGCTCTAAAGATTTAGAAAATCAAACACTCACTATATGACAATGTTACATTGGGCAATCCTAAACCACCACTGGTGCCAGAACAAAGAGAAGAAAAATCAAGGTCAGCTAGAAAGTCTGGCAGAAAAGAGCATCCTTTCTCTCAAGTTCTATGATAGTCATTTGTTAGAATTACAGCTTGCTGTGGCTTTTGTTAAAGTGTCAAAGAATTCCAAGGCTTAATAAGACCCATTAACCATTGCCTACACCCAAGGTACAGTGGGTGGTCCAGGCCATGATGGAGAGAGAAATTGATCTCAATGAAGTCAAAGGACTAGAAAACACAGTATAAAGAGGATTGAGAACACTTTCTAATTCCCAGCATGAGGGAGCTAGCAATTCTAAAAAGAGCATTCCTATGTAATCCAAAGCCAATTCTGCATTTTTTTATGAGAACAAATGCCAGGGTGCAAACATAAGTCATATCTCCTGATTTTCATTACAAAATATTTAAAAATCACCAGCACAAACCAGTTTCAAATTTGACCCAATGAGCCAAGTAAATGGGCTTGAGTTTCTCCATTTTTTCTCAAAAATATATTAAATTACCATAATAACAAGAAAAAGTTAGCAAAATCTGAGGCAAGCTACACAAAAACCATTTAGATAATAACTAGCACCAGCACAATTTAAAATGGTAGCTCTTCTAGGTAACACCAGGACTTCCTAGTATTCATGGTTGAAGCGTCCTCCCTCTTCATTTGCCAGTACTTATGTCTTGATAATGCTAATAGTTTCTCTATCTGGAAAAGTTCAGTAAAAAGCTTCAACTAAAATATATTCTAGTTAGAGAGATAGAATGAACAATATTTGATAGCATAACACAGTGACTATAATCAACAATAAATTAGAGTATACTTTAAAGTAACTAAAAGAGTGGAATTAGAAAGTTCCTAACACAAAGAATACCTGGGCGATGAATGCCTCAATTACCCTGATTAGCTCACATTATATACCTGTATCAAAACATCATGTGTATCTGATTAATATATACAACTATTATGTACTCATGATAATTTTTAAACATTTTTTAAATTGTATCATATGATGTTTTCATTTGCATGATGTAAAGAAGAAAGGATCAAGACTAGATTATTCTAAACAAATTTTAATACAGTAATTTATATTGTCACAGTTATTCTTTGCAAATGGATACAAATGCTGTTTTTAAAATACTTGAAATTAAGGTTCTATATTAGAAACCATTTTCTCTCAGCAATTCTGTTTAGTTTATTATTATGCTTAGTGTATTCGTTCTTTAGGGCTGGCTGCCATAACAATACCTCAGATAAGGCAGCTTAAACAACAGAAATTTGTTTTCTCATGGTTCTGGAGGGTAGAAGTCCAAGACCAAGATGTCAGCAGGTTCACTGCTTCTGAGGTCTCTCTCCTTGGTTTGCAGATGGCTGCCTTCTGCTTGTGTCCTCACGTGGTCATCTCTGGGTCTGTGTTGTCGGTGTCCTAACCTCTTCTTATAAGAACCCTAGTCACATTGGATTAGGGCCCCCCATGTGACCTCATTTCACCTCAGTTACCTCTTTCAAGACCCTGTGTCCATTCAGCTCATAGCACTCAGCAAGTCTATCATCGTATGATACGAAGGAATGCTTTGCCATATCTGAACCTCATTAATCATAACTTCTGACCTAGCAGAGTCCAATCTAAGGACTTTTTTTTTATTTCAGCATAATAAGGGGGTACAAATGTTAAAGTTACATACATTGTCACTGCCTTCCCTCCCCCCTTGATTCAGAGCTTCAAGTATGTCCATGCCCCCGACAACGCACAATGCCTTATAATGTATATATATAAACCCATCCCCTCTCCCCCTACCTGCCCGACATCCGATAAATGTTTTTTTTATAACATTTTGGTTAGATTTTATAATTTTGCCTTTACTTAGCAAAGGTTAGAGTACACCCTTCCCCTCCACACTGTTTGCCACGTCTCTAAGATGTGGGTCTATCCTCCCACCCCCCCCTCGAATCTCTGCTGAACACCACCACCCTTTGAGCACCATATTGAAAATCAGTCAGTACCAATGTGATGGTGAGTACATATGGAGCCCATTTTCCTGATCTTGTGTCACCTCACTTTGGATAATGAGCTTAAGCTCAAGCCAGGATAATATAAGTGGTGTTAGCCCACTGTCATTTCTTAGAATTGAGTAATATTCCATTGTAAACATATGCCAAATTTTAATTAGCCAGTCATGAATTGACGGGCACTTGGGTTGTTTCCACGTCCTTGTAATAGTGAATTGTGCTGCCAAAAATATTCGGGTACAGATGTCTTTATAGTAGAAAGTCTTATGCTCTTTTGGGTAGATGCCTAATAATGCTATTGCTGGGTCAAATGGTATTTCTATTTTAGCTGTTTGAGGTACCTCCAACTTCTTTTCCACAAAGATTGCACCAATTTGCAGTCCCACCAGTAGTGTAAGAGTGTTCTTGTCTCTCCACATCTTCGCCAGCATTTATTGCTTTGGGATTTCTTGATATGGGCCAATCTCACTGGGGTTAGATGATATTTCATTGTGGTTTTGATTTGCATTTCTCTAATGATTACAATCTAAGGACTTTTGAAAGAGTAATTCCCAGACACATTCCAAAAAGCAAAACCATATGCAGTTTTTGCCTTCCATTTTTATTTTTATATTATTTAACTGTTTTTCTTTGACAAATAAATTATGTAATTATATTCTGGGACTCAGAATTCTAGATTAACCATTGGATGAAGAAAATTTCCTAATATATGGACATAAGCAAAAAAAAACCAACAGAATGTTAGTATATAATATCTGCTAAATTTGTTGTAATTGATCAATTTTTTCTGGGTGTGTGCGTGTGTGTGTATTCCTTTACTTTATCTTCATATATGCTAGTAGCTTTATTTAGAAGGATAGTAACTTATTGTCTCTTCTTTTATAATTTCAGATCAGCCTCTAAATGTCTTTGAAGGAGACAGCAACTTTTAAATGAGTGAAGAGGAAGTCAAATTACATTATGAAAAGTTGGTTCAACCAATATTTCCTAAAGAATAGGAGAGCAGCTCAATTGATAAAGACTGGTGGTATTAAATAATAAAAGTTAGATTATGTGTATTGCTGCTATAGGCTGAATGTCCGTACCCATACCAAAAAAATTCAATGTGTATTGCTGCTATAGGCTGAATGTTTGTACCCCTACCAAAAAAATTCATATGTTGAGAGCCTAACTTCCAATGTAATGGTTTTAGGAGGTGAGGCCTTCAGGAGGTGATGTCATGAGGGGGGAGCCCCCATGCATGGAATTAGAGCCTTTATTAATAGGACCTCAGAGAGCTCTCCCACTGTTTTCCACTACTTGAGTGTATGTACACTGAGATGACAACAGTCTACAACCTGGAAGAGGGCCCTTGCCACCCCTGACCACTCAGGCACCCTGACCTCAGGGTTCCAACCTCCAGAACTAGGAGAAATAAATTTCTGTTGTTCATAGGCCATCCATCCAGTTTATGGTATTCTATTACAGCAGCTTAAAGTAAGATAATCACTAACTAAAAACACTCTCCACCTACTCCTACTCCTGCTAAACAATGAAAAAAATTATTTGAGGCTGACTTATGGCTGTGGTTATAGTTCAAATTACTTTAATTCAATAGAGATTTGAATATAGAGAGCATCATTTTCAAAACTGAATGTCAGAATAATCTTTACTTTACCCCTGCTAGATTTATTCATGGATGGTTTTGCTCAATTGCCTTTGCCTCCAGCTTGGCTTCCTCAGAATTTGAACATATTGCTGTTCCCATAGGAATTATAACAAATAAATTATAGTAACCAATACCTATTCTCCATAGTAAAATAATTTTGGAAAAAGCAGTTGGCTTCATGAAGCTCTTACAAGGGATGTAAAATAGAAAAAGAGGACTAGGTTACTCGAAGAGAAATTTTTAAATCTTTAAGCTGCCAAATAGCTTTTGTTCATTTATTGTCTCTGTCCTCAATGAGTTGGAGATCCTAAAAATCAGGAGACTTTGTTCTATAAATCTGAGCAGAAAGAATAAATAGCCCACTTCCCAAGAGAAGCTTGTTTTGAAAGCTGCTTCTCGAGAGACAGCAAGATCTTAGAATGTACTTTAAATACCGAGACCTATCCATGCAACATGTTTGCAATATATGCTGTGAGGAAATATAGCAGAGTTTAAATATTAAAATTTAACCCTAACCAATCAATATATGTTTAATTAACATTGTTGTCCTGCAGTAAAATTGTTATAAGTTTCTGTGCAAAAATGCAGAGGTATCCTTATGTCTATATATGGAAACTTTAGGGTTTTATAACAAAATAAATGTGTTTCAAAAAATGAAAAATATTGAAAGAACAATAATAAATACTAAAAATTCTATCGTTCTGAAATGATCACTGTTAATATTTTAGAATGTTCCTATCAATCTTTTCTCTGTCCTTACTCTTGAGTATAAATGAATATATATTGTTCAACTACACAAAATAAAGGTTCTTCATTCTTTTTTTTTTTTTTTTTTTTATTTTGGCATATTATGGGGGTACAGATTTTAGGGTTTCAATAAATGCCCATTTCCCCCCTCCCCCCAAAAGTCTGAGTCTCCATCATGACCATCCCCCAGATCGTGCACATCTCACTCGTTATGTTTGTATATACCCGCCCCCCTCCCCCCTCCCACCTCCCCAATACCCTATTACTGTAGCACCTATGTGTCCACTTAGGTGCTACTCAGTTAATACCAGTTTGCTGGAGAAGGTTCTTCATTCTTATTGCATTATTTTTTCTTTGAACTTTCATTAAGTGCAGCATTAATCATATTGTTGTTTCCTTGTACGTGATGAGTCATTTTTCTCTTACCTACTGTTTCCAAGATTTTTTCTTTGTCCTTGTCTATCAACAATTTGATTGTGATGTGTGTTGATGAGGATTTCATTGTGTTTGTCCTCCTTCTGGTTCATTGAACTTTTTGGATTTGTAAATTTGTGTTTTTCATCAAATATGGGAAGTTTTCAACCATTATTTTTTCAAATATTTTTCAACTTCTTTCTCTCCCTCTTCTCTCTCTGTGTCTCCCCCTTTGTGTGTGCTAATATTCTGAATTACTCTGTTATTTTTCTGAACTCTTTTATTCTGTGTTCTTAAGATGGATCATTTCTATTAAACCACACATTTGCTGATTTTCAATTCTGTAATTACAAATCTATTTTGCCTCTTTAGTAAATTTATCATTTTTGGTTATCGTATGTTTCAACTCTAGAATTTCTATTGGTTATTTTTTTAAGATTATTATTTCTTCTTTGTTGAGTCATTGTAATTATGTTTCCATTTAATTCCTTAAACATTGTTTTCTTTAGTTTTTCAAACTTATTCATATAGCTGCTTTGAACACTTTGTCTACTCAGTCCAGCATCTAAGCCCAGTCAGAGCCAGTTTCCATTGATTGCTTTTGTTTTTCATCATGAGTATTGATCACTTTTCTGGATTTTTATTTATTTTTTTGTTTATTTAAAATTATACATTTTAGATAATATACTGTAGTAATTCTGCTTTCTAATTTTTCCCCCAGGGCAGTTCCATTTACTGTTACTGTTTGGTTTTTTATCTGTTTATTAACTTGCCTGGACTACATCTATGAAATCTAATGTCTCCATATTGTACAGCCACTGATATCTCTGCTTAGTTTTTTATTCTTATTTTTATTTATTTATTTTTTTTGAGACAGAGTCTCACTCTGTTGCTTGGGCTAGAGTGCCGTGGCATCAGCCTAACTCACAGCAACCTCAAATTCCTGGGCTCAAGCAATCCTCCTGCCTCAGCCTCCTGAGTAGCTGAGACTACAAGCATGTGCCACTGCACCCAGCTAATTTTTTCTATTTTTAGTTGTTTAGCTAATTTCTTTCTATTTATAGAAGAGACAGGCTCTGGCTCTTGCTCAGGCTGGTCTCGAACTCCTGAGCTCAAGCAATCCTTCCACCTCAGCCTCCCAAAGTGGTAGGATTACAGGTGTGAGCCGCCGCGTCTGGCCTTGTTTTCTATTTTTAAACCTGGTTTTGTATGGGTATCCCTCTATCTGGATAGCTTAGTGGTCAGACAGCGGTTAGTTGGACGTTGTGCTCAAATGCAGTGAACCAGTAAAGCTTTTCTGCTCTGCTAATAGAGCTCTGTGTATTGAAGAACATGTTCTAAGTTCAGGCACTTTTGAAGTCTTCCCTTGCTTTTAATTTCTTCCAGAGTCTCTTGTGTCTCTCTTCTGCATGTGTGTGCAAACTCCAGTAAGTCAGCAATATATGGAGATCTCACCTATTGCTGTCCCATTTCTCACATCTTCCTATTAAATATCTTTTTAGACCACTGGTTGTTTTTATTTTTTGAGGGGTGGGGGGAATGAGAGCAACCCCAAACAATAATGTCACAGATCCCCACTGTTCTTACTCTAAGATTATTCATTTTCATGAATAGACAGAGAATTGTTTTTGCTTTTGGTCAATTTCCAGAGTTATAAAATGGTTGTTTTTGACTATTTTGTTTAGTTTTATAGCTTCTTTGGGACACAGAATTTGCCAATCTGCTCACAGCACTCTATCTCACTTGTTATATACTATCAATTATTACTAAGATGATTGCCAAAAGTTATTTTTAAGTCCATAATTTACTTGTTGAAATTCTACTGTAAGACAGAACTTTCGCTTCTCCATTTATTTATAAATTCCTTTATGTATTTATTAGATATAAATTTATGCATTTTTAATTTATTAAATGATTATAGTCTACTGCTCTACTGGCCAAACAGAAGCTTCTCGTGCTAACTTCTGTGTCCGTTAGACTCATTTATATCATTCTTTGATTTCTTTAAGTTATAGAACAATTCTAGTTTTCAAGTTTATCTAATACTTACTTTTACCCAGTCCTAGAATCAGGCACCTTTCCATGAAGCCCTGGTTTATTTTAGAGAGAAATAAAATTTAGAAAGCATTACCTGAGTCCTAAGTGATCTCATTGCTTTTGAAGTGTCATTATATGTAATCTTCTACAGATTGAATTTGTGCCCCCAAAATTCATATGTTGGATCCCTAATCTCCAATGTGACTGTATTTGGACATAGAGCCTGTAGATGATAATTAAGGTTAAATGAGGTCATAAAGGTGAGGCACTCTCACCCAAGAGGGCTGGTGCCTAATAATAAGAGGAAGAGACATCAGCATGCTCCTTCTCCACCATGTGAAGTCAAGTGAGAAGCGGCTGTCTACAAGCCAGGAAGAGAGCAGAAAACCAAATCAACTTGCACCTTGATCTTGGACTTTCCAGCCTCCAGAACTGTGAGAAATAAATCTGTATGGTTTAAGCCACCCAGTCTGTAGTACTTTGTTACGGCAGCCCAAGATGACTAAGCTGACTAAGATATAGCCATCTCAGCGGAGTGTTGGAACAAAAATACACATACATATACATGCATGCACACACACATATATATACACACATACATAAATGCATTTGTATGTATTCTATATCTACCTACATATTCATTGATATATATCTATCCATCTATATATTTATTCATCTATTTATAATATTCTGAGTTCAGGTTAAAGAAGAATTTATAAAGAGACATGACAGTTACATGCAATTCATGATTTTTGACTGGAACTTGGGTAAGAAGGAAAAATTACCACAAATGATATTTTTGACACGATTGGCAATATTTGAATACAAACTCAGCATACTATTATATTTTGCTTTGATAATCATACTTGGTTACATAAAAGAAAATTTTTGTTCTTAGAAAATACATAATGATAAATTTAGGGGAAAGTGTGTGGTATCTGCAGTTCAGAAAAAGGAGGAAAGGTGATGGATCAAATACTAAATGAATAAAGGAGGGAGAGTAGTTCTTGTGATTATTTTTATGTACCTTTTAAATTACATCAAAATTAAAATGTACAAAAATCACTTCTAACATCTATTTTGCTAATTATGAAAACATATGTATTCTATATCTAGAGTTGATTGGAAATAAATACAGCTGAAGAGCTTATAAGAGTAAGTTCATAACTCTTGATTGTTGTCTTCCAGGAACTAATTTTCCACACCTAAAGT